GGGGCCCCTGGGTTTTCCATTTGAAAGAAAGAAAGTTAAATCCTACTTCACACTACTCATTTAAAAAATCCAGGTAGATGAAAGTCTAATGTAAAATGAAAACCATACACATAAATTTTAAAAATATAGAAAACATTTTAGTAATTACGGAGTAGAGAAGGCAGTTTTTAAGCATGGCATCAAATCCGGAAACCACGAATGAACATACTGATAGACTTGACTAAGTAAACATTACAAATTTCATTAGAACAAAATATACCATAAACAAAGCTATATATATATATATAGCTATATATATACCAGCCTGGAAGAAAGCGTTGCAACATATATAATAGACAAAGAATTACTATCAATAATATGTAAAGAGCTCCTCCAAATAGATCAAATGATCATAGGAAAATAGGCCAAGGGCATGAGTAATCAATTCAGAGGTAAAATACAAACGGCCAATAAACAAATGAAAAGATTTTTAACTTCCTTAAAAATCAAGGAAATGTAGATTGATTCAGAGGCCAAGGGTCCCAGAGGGGCTCTGATGGGATGCCAGGAGAGACTGGTTTTCACCTTACTACGGACTCTGCTTTTGATGGTGAGGTGAACTCTTTCTTGGGAGACAGGATCCACCTCTGCCCCGGGATTGGGGGCGGGCTCTGGCTCCCTCTTGCTTTTTGGGAAACACTACTTCCTCATTGCAGGCCATCTGGGAGTGGAAGCGGGAGCCTTGGGAATTCCAGTGTTTTTGGACCCCAAGGGGGCTTTGTGAGGGCTTTCTTCTCAGTCTCCACCTCCAGACGGGAGCATCCTCTCCTTCTCTCATCATCCCGGCCCCTCAGAGTTCTCTCTTAGACCCAGAAAGTCTGTCCTGGTGTCTAAGCTCAACTCTAGCTGCTGCAGTGTTGGCTCTGCTCTCCTTGGAAAGGACTCGTATCTGGAGGTTTGGTCTCACACACTCCAGCACCCTCATTTCAGGGCCTGTAGGTATAACCGGGCTCTGGCCTGGATGGACTGTGGCTGGGTGTTGAAACAGGGGCCAGGAGAAGCTCTGTCTCTCTGGAGACTGGAGGTCAGAACTTGTTCACTGCCTGCTGCTTAGCTCTGCCCAGGGCTGGGCTGCTTTGAGCCGGTATCAGCCCTAACAGGGGATGGAAGTCTCTGGTGCCGATGTCCGCCATGCTCCCATCTTGTGCAAGGCTCTGGTTACCCCAGGGAGAAAGAAGAGCATGTTTCCACCGTGGGGAGCCCCAATGTGATGGAAGAGGGGCTCCCTCCATGTACCCCACATCAGGACTAGCCATCTTCTATCCGCTTCTGTCCATGTGACTGGACTTGTCTCCCCAAAATGGGTTCCCAAGACCGAGCCTGCCACATTCCAGGCCTTCCAAGTCTTACTCCATTGGCAGGGAAGACACTGAAGACCGCCTGCAGGGGAACTGGGCCCAAGTGAAGCTGCCCGGAGGCCCTGAGGCCTGAGGACCCCATGTCAAAGAAGGGTTGGAGAGGTCTGGGGTTAATCCGGATGGGCTTCCTGGGGGAGAGCAGGCAGCTCCTTGGCTGTAGATGGCAGAGAAGCACTGACCAGAGTTGTGGAGGGTGTGTGGCGGGGGCACCCGGTTGGAAGGCCTGAGCCTGTTCTGGTTGGCTGACCCTCTGGGAAATTCAGGGAGTTTCCAAGCTGAGAGCTTGGTGGGGGGGTTCGGGAGGGAGGGACACAGCCAGAGTCCTGCTGGGGGAGAAGGACAGGCTTCTCCTGACTAGTCTTAATCCCTCCTGCTTTAGGAAGCAAGGCTGTGGAGGTGGGGGGAGAGCGATGCCTGTGTGTGTGTGTGTGTGTGTGTGTGTGTGTGTGTGTGTGTGTGTACAGACAAATGTCTGCGGCTGTGTCTGTGAGTGATTCTGTGAATGACTGGGGGTCTGAAGGGCTGTAACTTTGCACACATGAGTGTCTCTGCAGGTTCTCACGTCTGTGAGTTGTTCTGCGTGTAAGAGTCTGTGACTCTGTGTATACATGTGTGTAGGTCGGTCTGCCCTTAAGAGCAACTGCTCGGAATCCCTGTCCCGATCTCTCCAATCAGGCTGCTCCATGCTCTTGCCCCCACTCTTCTTTGACTCCTCCTCAACCCCTCCCCTCCCTGAAGTTGAGGGCTCACGCTTTTGACTGCCTGCCCCTGGGAAAACCTCACGGCTCTGCTGACTACAACGAATGGGGCCCAGACTGGGGTGGAGGTTATGTGGGGCACTCTCATCAGGCTGGAACCCACCAGAACCTCAGCGACCCCAGTCCCACCCCACCCCTCACCCTGCACCCCCTCGCCCTGTCACCCTCCAGCCTACACAGCTCACCCCTCCCTCTTCAGCCTTCCGTCGGAGACTTTGGAGAGACAGAGAAGTCATGGCCTGAGCCCCCCAAGGGACCTATTCTGGATGTGAGGACCCTAACCTCCAGAGTTGCCCTTGACCTAAGGCCCAAGTCAAGATGAACCCAAAGAGTGGGATCGACGACCCTGCTTCCTTCCACCTTCTCCATCTCCCTAACTAGGGTTCCCTGGCCACCCTGCCAGTTTCTCTTTGAAAACTTGGCTTGGTAGATCTTCCATGCGCTCTCTGGCTGCCAATTGCCCCTGGGGTTGGGGCTGGCTGGCAGGATGAGGGGGGAGGCAAACGGGACACTCCCAGGACCCTAGGGGACAGGGGCAGGGTTTCGAAAAAGTAAGAGATGACTGAGAAATCTAGGCCAATCCGCTGAGCCTAAAGGTGACATTGGTTCAAGGTCACACAGCACTCCATGCACAGCAGTCTGGAAAGGGGCTTTGAAGTCAGTGTGTCCAACTTCCCTCCGGGAGCAAGAAGCCCCCCTACGCTTCTGATACATGCATGCATTCATGCATGCATTCATACAACCGTCAGCGGGCCAGGCCCTGCGTGAGGAACTGGGGACCCAGCGGCATCAGGCAGATTATCCTTGGTTGGTTCTGGCCTCACTCACCTTCTCTAGCAACAGGAGGTGCATTACCACAGAAGTTCTTGAGTCCCAGCACTGCGCAAATTCAGCCGCTAGGAGACATCTGGAGCATCCCCCACCCCGCTACCTTTCTGGAAGCCATGGCAGAAAGGGTGTGGGTGCAGTGCGTCGTCCCCATGGTGCCCCATCCACCTGCCACAGCCTCGAGTGTATGCGGGAGGAGATGAGCTGCTAGGGCAGCCTGCACAGACCAGACCTGGGCTGACAGGCCCTTCCTTCAAAGGCTGGCCCAGTCCGTGCCACTTTATTGCCTAACTAATGATGGTGATTAGGCCAACAGGTGCTACGTGCCTTCTGTGTCCACCCTCCTGCCTGCTGAGAAGGATGGTGTCTGAGCACCCGGGGCAGGCCTGCCCCGTGCTCTGCCAGGGCACCCACCACCACTGCCCGCTCAACCGTCAGGCCAGTTTTTGCCCACCTTGTCCCCAGAGAACGCAGGGCTAGTTCAGTCCTCATCGGCTGGGATTGCTGTGTGGCCTCAGTCCCCATCTGGCCCTCTCTGAGCAGGACTGAGGCGGAAGTGGGTAGGTGGGAAGGGAAGCCGAGGACGGTGTGTGGGGGGCATGTGCCCCTGAGAAACACACCTACCTTTCCCCTAGCTATGGCTGGGTTGCGGGCACCCAACTAGAACCCAGAAGCAAGTAGTACCAGGGGGTCTTCCTTGCAGATGAGCTGGGGCTGCTCCTTAAGAAGCCACTGCATTGTGGGGTAAGTCACTGGAAAGATCCCACCGTTCTGGAGGGGTTGGCCCACCACTCCCAGTTGGGGGGTGCTATTGCCTAGGGCCCGGGTTGTGTATGTGTGTGTGTGGGGGGGGTCCTAATGTGGGTCTGGGTGGGAGCCATGATTTATGACGGTGCTTCATGAGTGAGGAATGCCAGCCTGGGGGGCTGGGGTGGGGGGGCGGAGCCTCTTGCCTGACACTCCTCATTCTGCTGGATGTCTGCCATGTCCTGTCAGGATTCTCTTGTCCCCTGGGGACAGCCATGTTCTCCCACATGCGGCAGCCCCCTCCCATCTGTACCTCGCACCTCCAGCCCTGGGAGGACTGAGTGCCGGCCCAGCTGAGGGGGAATCCAGACCTGAAACCTTTCTGGTTTTCTGTCTTCACAACTCAGCCCCCTTTGTTAGTGGGCATGAGAATGATGGTAAATAGCTCTTTCCTCTCCCACTGCGGCAGGAGGGAACTAGATGAGACTTTTGGAAACTTCCATCCGGATGAACTCAAGCCTCACTGGCCACCGTCCACAGCGAGAGACTTAGGATAGATACAAAAATGAACTTCCAGCTAGGAAGGGTTGCTGAGCTCCTAGGACAGATGACGGGTGGGGCGTCATCCTTCCCCACTCTTACCCCCACCTGGCCAGATGAACGAAGACTCTGGAGTGCAGGCAGGTGGGGAAGCGGAGGACGCTTGGCGGTGAGGTCGGGAGGCAGCATGACCCAGAGCGCCGTCGGGTCCTGGGCCCCGAAGTTCATGCCCATGTTGAACCTGTTCTTGTGAGTCTCACTTGTATCCCTCTTGCTGTGGGTTCCTTCTCTGGGTGAGGGTCCTTCTTTCTGGACACCGAGCATGGGTCAGTCTGCCTTCCCTGGTCTGGCGGGACTGGTTTTTCAAGCCGGGGGAAGGGTCGGCCGAGGAATTGGCAGAGGCAGAGGGTTTTATGTAAATGCCCAGGGAGTGCTCTGGGAACGGGGAGGCCGGTTTTCCCAAAGACACGCAGGGACTGGCAACCTCCAATTAGCCGGGGCCGGTGATGTCAGTGCTGCTTTCCTGGGTGGCTGCGCCCACTCCAGTCGGCCTTGGCAGGGCTTCCTGGCCATTACCTTCTCCCTTGGGTGGGAGAGGTGCCAAGGGGGCCACCATACAGGAGAGAGGCAAAGTCCCCTCCCACCATACTCCCCAAACTGGGGCCTGAACCATGTTGTGGACCAGCCCCGGAGAGTGCCATGAAAAACCAGCCCAGACTTTACTGGAAAAAAGACTTTAATGTGGCTAATATTCCATCCCTCTCCCTAAACCTGAGGAGCTGGGGAGACCTCAGTAGCTGGGCTGGTCCCAGAGGCTGTTGCCATGGCAGCTGCTGGTAGGCCCTGCTCCCCAGGCTACCCCAACCCCAAATTTCAATAAATACAGTGCAAAGGGGTCTGGTCACCCACCAAGCGGGGGAGACGAGGACCCGGAGTGCTAGAGAGGGCATGTTGTACGGTCCGAGAACCCACACATGCGCACTGCCAAGCACGCGCACCGAGGGCCATGTGCACACACGACAAACCCCCTCTCAGGCATCCTCACGTGACACGCCATCCACACACACACACACACGCGCGCACACACACACACGCTCACACACACATTTTCCTCAGAAACGAAGCACTGAGCACACACACCCCTTCCTTACAGACACACACACGAGGTTCTGTATATATGTGCTTTCTCTCAAGGTTTGGCTTAGAGCCTGGGTGTCCCCTCCTGGCTCAGAGGAATACGAACAGGTGGGTCTTCCTGGTCTTGGCCAGATCATACCCTGGTCTAGGGCCTAGGTGTTGTGGCCAGGCAGTTGGCCGTGTTGTTGGTGTCAGCCCAGGAGGGGAAGGTGTGCAAGTTGAAGATGGGGTAGCTCCAGCTGTTGATGGCCAGTGTGATGACCAGGACTCCGATGATGTTGAGCAGGAATCCTGTCCGGGCCTGGTGTAAGGAGAGCCAGTCTGAGTGACCAGTTGCTGAGCTGGGCCAGAACCTATCTCTTAGGGGCTCAGAGGGGCTCGGGAGCTCTCTTACTGGCAAAACTCTCCCTGAGAAATCTTCTTGTGGGTCTGACCTGCAGCACTAGGAAGTGCCCCTGCCCCTTGCTTTCATCCCAGTGCTAAGGAGGGAAAAGGAAGCCCTTCATGAGCTTTCAGGGCCTTGGGCTCTGTTCTCCCTGAGTCCATCTCCCTGGGGGCAGGTGCCTCGTACCTTGGAGCCTCCCCTAAATTCCTCACCCTCTCCTTTCCCTCTCACATGTTCTGGGGTTTGGCAGGGTCTAAAGATGCTCCAACTGGGGATCATGGTGCAACCTCCCCTGCTGCCCCCTCTCCAGCCCCCCCGCCCCAGACAGGATTCACTCTTAACTCTGAGAGCCTCAGTGGCTTTAAGCTACTTTGTGGTCCACCAAGAAGGAAAGACAGAACAGGGCGGGGTGCCGAAGCATTCCAGCCCCACTGCTACTCACCATATCGGACACTTTGAGACCTCCAAAAGAGAAGACAATGGCATTGGGGGGGGTGGCCACAGGCAGCATGAAAGCTAGGGAGGCGGCCAGTGTGCAGGGAAGCATGACATAGAGAGGGTGGAGGCAGATGGCCTGAGCCTGGATGGGGAGACAGTGGGGAGAACTGATCTCAGTCCCCATCCCAGAGAGGAAGACGTGGCCCCCAATTCTCCTGCTTCCCCTCTCTGGAGGACAACCCGCCAACAACATGCACTCTGGCCACGAACCCACCACTTTTGCCAGGAGGCCCTGGGTGACCTGGGAAGGGCCCCTTGACCTCTCTGGAGGGGATGAGTGTGCGGCCCTGCCCAGTGGGGCGTGGTGAGAGGAGGGGCCCATAAAACGGATCTCAAAGGGGCTCCAGGGTGTCATCAAAGGCTGCGGGAACGCGCCAGGGGAGGAAGGGGCTGGGGACGCTCCAGGGAGTCATTTCAACCTGTCACCTCAGGACTGACCAGAACAGGGACTGGGCCAGGGAGGTGGGCGAGGCCACCAATGAGGCTTATCCGGATACTCAAGGCGTGACTTCACCAGGGATGGAGTGAGTCAGGGGCCAGAGAGCCTTGGGGCCCGAGGTAGCTGAAGAGTCTGGGGAAGGGTGGAAGCTCAGGGGTCTTCTCCCGCAAGTGAGAGGAGGTGCACACAGTTTCCCTCTGACCTGCAGGTGGGGCCCCTGGATGGGGTGGGCAGGAGGGCTGCCTGGAGGAAGTGTGTCTGCGGGACCAGCTCACCATGGAGGCCAGAATGGGCAGGAAAAGTGTGGTGGTGGCCACATTGCTGGTGCACTCAGTGAAGGTGGCAATCAGGAGGCAGATGATGAAGGCAATGGCGGGAGATGGCACATTCTGTAGTGGGGTCAGCTTGTCCCCCAGCCACTCGGACAGTCCTGATTTCTGTAGGCAGAGGAAGATAGTGTGGGAGAGGGTGAGATTCCGGGGGGGCTCCGAGAGGGCCCTGCTCCTGCCCCCACCTCTCCAGAGCCTTCAGAAGTCGGGTCTGCTTGGGAAGGAAGATAAGACCCAGCCAGAACCAAGAGGCCCCTCTGGTGATTTTGAAGAACGCTTGGCTGTGGGGAGAAGGGTCAGATGAGGAGCCGGGAGATGGGGCCAAAGGGCCTTCCTGGGAAGCCTGGGACGTGGTGGGAGGAAAGATTTTAACTCCTTTTACTCCTGTTCTCCCAACAGCTCTTGGGAGCTCCCTGGCCACCCTCAGTCCTCTCCGGGCCTCCTCCAGCCCAGCAGACGGGCAAGGAGCGAGAAGGGGGAAGGGCCCTGGGTATAGATGCTGGGAAGAGGCTGACAGGAGAATGGGGACAGCCCACAGGGTCATGAGGGCTCCCAGGTCTTTCCCTGTCCACGTGTGTACTGCCAGACTGTGAGTCCCAGGGCACTGGGACTTTGTCTCACACAATGCTGCCCACTCAGCACGCGGCACAGTGCTTGCCACAGTCCGTGAAAACTAACCTCCGATCCAGGAGTCCCTGGCACCGATCCCTGACCCAGGGAAGCTGCCTCCTGTCCGTGCAGTCAACGAGCTTAGCCAGAACACGGAGGCCCAGGGGCGCAGGCGGGTTCAGGGATTTCCCTCCTGGATGGAGGCTCTGGGGAATGAAGCGCTCTCCGGTCCCTATAGCCTGGCTGGGTGTGACCATGGCGCCCCCTGGTGGCCTCAGCGGGCCAACTGCGTCCACCCAAAGCTCGCTACTCCCCGGTGCTGAAGCTGTTGCGTTCTCCGTCTGGCGGAGGGTGAGGCCGGTGGAGTGGGGGCGGGGCGGGGTTGGCACTGAGAACAGTCCCTGCCCACCAGAGGAGCCTGCCTTGCCTTTGACTTTGAGACCCTAACAGGCAGAGGTCCTTATGGCCTGTGTTTCCTCCCCCTCCCTTAGACGGAGCTCTAACCTGCCTCTCCAGCTGCTGCCGGGGCTCTGCCCACCAGGAGGCTCCTAAGTGGGGATCCCCTGTGTGGGATAGGAGCAGGGCACCTCTTTCCCTGCCGCAGGGTCCCCCTCCAACAGGCTGCGGAGGGGGCGGGCTTTCTCACCTCGCTGCCCTTGGCCAGGGCAAAGCCGCCCCCCAGCAGGAAGACGATATTCCAGGGCATCTTCTCATTCACCGTCTTCCAGTTGAGGAGGGCAGGAGGGGCCTTCAGCCTCCCCGGGTTTTCTATTTCCCAAGCAGAGGAGGACGGATCACCAAGAGCCAACAGGTTTTTCCTCCCCTCCACTTGGGTCTCCCTGTGAGTCCCTACCCGAGCTTACTGCAGGCGGGAGAGGGACCCCCAGTTCTGCAGCATCCTTACTTTGTCCCTGAGTCCCTGCACTTTTGGCAAGTCATCCCAACCTGTCTGGGCTTTGACTGTTCCTGTCAAGTGTGGTTGAAGGCTCATTCCATGCTAGAAGGCAGGGGCTGCCCAGAGGCCCCTCCCTGCCCCAGTCCAGGTTCTTACCTGGATCCGGAGTCAGCCCTGGGATCTTGGAGGGCACCAAGAACAGAATTATGCCAATGAAGATGGCCACTGTTCCATCAGATGCCATGCTGTGGGCAGGGCAAGGAGAGCAGGCTTAGGCTCCAGGCTGCGCAGGGTCATAGGGTGGAATGGCGATGGAGAGGAGCCCCTCCCAGCAAGTCTTCCCCACCATATCACCTCCTGGTCTGCACCAGGGGCCCTGCTTCCTTCCCTCCTCCCTTAGCCAGGTGAGCCCCAGAAGTATCCCCCTCTCCCCAAGAATGCTCACCTCTTTCCGTCCTTATCGGGAAAAGCCAGGTTGCCCCAGCCAACGAAAAAGCCCGGCTCCCGGGTGAACCACAGCACCACCAAGGTGACAAAGAGGAGAGAGACAGCCTTTTCTGCAAAGGTCATGGGGCCCAGGAGCTTGTGTTCTGTTTGGATGACGCGGAAGGCTGCCCGTGCTCTCTCCTGTGCCTGTCCCCCAATGCCAAAGTTCTTCCGGAAGCTGCAGGCAGAGGTGGGGGGTGGGGCAGCTCCTGAGGACCCCGCATCAGGCAGGGGGGCAAGGGACTCTGAGCCCCTGTGATATGCTGATGCCTGCAGAGGCCACCTTAGGGTTGCTACATGAAGACCCTGGCCCCACCCAAGGTTTTGAAAGAAAAGCTGAAGACTCTCGGCGGGGGGGTGGGGGGGGGGGGGGGGGGGGGGGTGGTCATGGTTCTTATTTAGCAGAGGCAAGTCTGGGGCTCCAGGGGCCAGTTTCCCCATGCTTAGCCCTGCTCCATCTGTCCCAATGACCCCTTTTCCCTCCAGAGATTTTCTTGCGCTAAGCCCTCCCTTGCCCAGAGGGAGGAGAATCTAGAGGCCTGGACCCCACGACTCCTTCTGGCCCCAATTCACCACTCCCCTCCTCCAGCAGCCTTTCAGGAAATCCTTCCCTCCCTCTCCTACCTGCTTCTGGGCATCCCCTGCCAGCCTAGCCCCACCCACATCATTCTTAGGGGCACAGGAGACGACCGCCCACTTCTGTGTGCCCCTTGCTTAACTTAGGTTGACTTTTAACTTTCCACTTGGGCAACTCTCAACTCCCCTGATGGGCTGTGAATTTCTCAGTGGCAAAGACCATCTACCTCACACATCGTTGAATGTCCCACGGTGCCCTGCATATGGGGGTCTCTTTGACTATCACCTAGCTTTGTACCAGCCCCCAGCCTCGATCCAGCCGCCTTGCACATGTCCAAGTGAGTGTTCCAAAGTACAGCAACAATACTTAAAAACTTTCAATGTCCCCCCCCTTCCATCCTCACCCTCCCACCACTGCCACCTGAGCAGGAAAGTCAAATAACGCCTACCACAATACCACCTTTATCACTACTCTCAGCCCACACTGGTAGCAGACATCACCAGTCGATCCCAGGCTCAATTCCAACTGAGCTCTGGCGAGGTCTCACCAGATTGTCAACTCAGACCTCGGGTCACTACCAGTAACTCAGGGTTGGAAGTAAGAATAAAACCTATTTACTACTCTTGGCCTCAAGGACAAGGTCCCAACCCTTGATGCGGCACACGGGATCCTCCATCATCTTTCCCTGCCTACTTCTCCAGCTTCAACTCCTGATATTCCTTTTTGCACTTACGTTTCAACCAGTAGAACTAGAGTTTTCCCAAATACACGCTTTTTCTTGCCTCTGCACCTTTGTGTAAGCTGTTCTTACTGCCCGGAATGCCTTTACCCCATTCTCTACCTGGCTGGCTTCTCATTCTACAAGATTCGGTTCAGACGTCACGTCCCCCAGGGGCATTCTGGGATTGCCACTATCCTGGGCTGTGTTCCCACAGCCCCCAGGCTTCCCTCTGTCACGGCCCCCACCACACCGCCACCCATTAGATGGTGAGCTCCAAGGACAGGGGCTGTGCCTAATATCCTCTCGTATTCTCAGTGCCTCGCGCAGGGCCAGATGTCCGGTAAGAGCACAACAAATGCTTTTGTAACTGACCATGTTCACTGTGTGCTCCTTAAGCATTTACCAAAGGACCGAGGAGCATTATGGAGTGGATCTGGCCTGGGCATCAGGAGACCTAGTTTTCAAACTCAGCATTGACAAATCTAGTTGTACACCCCTCTAAGGAGCCTCAGTTTGCTCATCTGCTAAATGGGATAATAGTCTCCACCCAGTCAATCTCTCACATGGTCGGGACAAGTGCACAGAGAGGCCTTCTCAGTGGGTCCGTGATTATACCCTTTGCCACAATGGCTACCCGGTTACTCAACTGGAATCTCCTGGAGGGTAAGGGCAGGCCCCCGGGCTTCTTTCACTCCCACCACCACTTACTTGAACCCCAGGAAGAGGATCTGCAGCCACAGCCAGGAAAGCAGCAGCAAGATGGCCATGGCGGGGAAGGCAAAGCCGAACCAGGAGGCAAAGTTCACCACGTTGCCGTTCTGGGGGAAGAGCCTGATGGGGGGTGCGGGCTGTCGCATGACATTGCCCCAGGCGCCTCCCCCTTCCCGCTCCCCCCCCCCCCCCGCCGCCCCGACTCTGCCCCCGGGCACTCACGAGTTGACCTGGCCTTGCAGCACCAGGTTAGGCGTGGTGCCGGTCAGTGTGGCGATGCCCCCGATGCTGGCGGAGTAGCACACGCACAGGCTCATGCCCTGGCTGAAGCGGAGCTCCTCCGGCTGTTGTGCCGTGGGCTCTAAAGATGCGGCTGGGACAGGGTGCACCTGCCCGTTATCTGGGAACAAAGGAGAGCTCCGCTGGCTGGCGGGGCGGGCCTTGCCAGTGAGCAGCCTAGACCCAGGCTGGGGTGGGGGGTGGGGCTCGGGGGTGGGAGGTGCAGAGGCTGCGTCCAGGTCTGCAAGGGCTTGCACTCCCTGAGGTCTCAGGCTGGCTCAACCCTCAGACATCACCTGGCCCAACCTCTCTTGAGAGAGGGAAACTGAGGCACAGAGAATGCAAGAGGATTATCCAAAGCACACAGGATGAAGGGAGCCTGGATCCCTGACAGCCCACCCAGACTCCAGCTCTCTGCCCCCCAGGGTGACCTGGCATCTTGTTTGGCCCTGCACTGAAGGGATTCTCAGAACATGGGGTTTTTCATTTTAAAACTAGGGACAGGGGCACCCCTGGGTGGTTCAGTTGGGTGGGTGTCTGCCTTCGGCTCAGGTCATGGTCCCGGGGTCCTGGGATCGAGTCCCACATCAGGCTTCCTGCTCAGCGGGAGTCTGCTTCTCCTTCTCCCTCTGCCCCCTCCCTGCTTGGGCTCTCTCTCTCTCAAGTAAATAAATAAAATCTTTAAAAAATAAATAAAAAGAATAAAACTAGGGACAGTCTTGGGCGAGCCAGGGCAAGTTGGTCGCTGCACGTCTCCCTTTTCTCTCCCTGAAAGCTCCGAGATGACCACCCCTGTCATGGATGTCACCTCAGACCCTCCCCAAGAGCTGGGGGAGGTGGTGGTGGTGGGGTTGGGGCAGAGCGGGGTCAAGCTTCACCTTTCTCACCAAACTTGGTCTCCTTCTTCTGGGGACTTGGTTCCTGGAGTTCAAAGGTGGGGTTGTCGCTGCCTTCCTCCACGTCCTTGCCCGTGGGCGTTCTGTGCAACTGATCCAGAACGGCGTGCGCGATGGGCACCATCATGGCTGTGGTGGCCGTGTTACTAATCCACATGGACAGGAAGGCTGTGACCAACATGAAGCCCAAGAGCAGCCTAGGGACAGATGGAGACGGGCGGACCCGCTGGCTGGTGTTCCAGTGTCCCCTTCAGGGACTGGATCCCCAGCACCCCACCCGCTCCAGGTTCTCCAGTCCTGGCTTGTGGGAACTCACAGGGCCGGCCGCACCCCAATGATGAGGAGCACACGGAGAGCAATGCGTTTGTGCAGGTTCCAGTGCTCCACGGCAATGGCCATCAGCAGCCCCCCGATGAACAGGATGTTGCTGTCCTTTAAATACTCGATGCAGACCTGGCAGGCAGGGACAGCAGGAAGGGGTGTCTCCCATGCCCCTGGCCTTACAGGCTACAGTCACTGACATTCCCACAAACACAGGTTGGTCTCCTGGGCTCTCAGAACCAAGTAGAAATGGTCTTTGGATTATCTTCCATTTAAAATTAACCAGGTTCCTGGGCGCCTGGGTGGCTCAGTCAGTTAAGTGACTGCCTTTGGCTCAGGTCATGATCCCGGGGTCCTGTGTCGGACTCCCTGCTTCTCCCTCTCCCCCTCCCCTTGCTTGTGCTCACTCTCTCTGTCACATAAATAAATAAAATCTTAAAAAAAAATAAATAAATAACCGGGTTCCTCTCTTCCTGCCAAACACTTTCTTTCTCCCCTCAGAAATGAGTGGGAGATAATTGAGCCTGATTCCAGTCATTTTTCAAGCCATGGACTGGGACATAGAGAATTTAGTGCTGATACTAGAAAGTATAGCAGTGGTTCTCCAAGTGTGGTCCATAAGCCGGCATCAACCCCAACCTGGAGTTTGCTAGGAACGAAATGCTCAGGCCCTGCCCTAGGTCTACTGCTTCTGAAACTCTGGGGTCGGGCCCAGCAGTCTGTGTTTTTCACCAGCCCTGCAGGTGGTCCTGAGACATGCATGCTGCTCACGTTTCAGAGCCATTAACCCAGGACAATACAAGTTCTTTAGCTGACTTTCAAGGCCTACACCTGATCCACTCCGAATTAATTCTCAACACCGACCATGCACTCGGCATTTCTAGAATGTACCCTCGCCCACCCCCAGCCCTGCCATCTTCTAGCTGACTCTATCCTTAGTGCTCCCTGACCTGGACTCTTCTGTGTGTCCTGCCTGTGATGAGGCTTCCTCCATCACCAGTGTTTTAGGGCAGACCCCCCCTCCCTACCAGGAGCCTTACCTCGGAGGCATCCATTATGCCCATCATGGGGTACAGGATGATGGGGAAGAGGGCGGTGACAGCCAGGGGCAGAGCCTCGGTACACCAGAAGAGTGCCATGAGGATAATGGAGTAGGCACAGTAGGCTTCCTGTGGGCGGGAGGGGGGGGGGGTAGCAGAGCTGCTGGAGGGGGCAGGCCTGCGTCCCAGAGTCATGTCACCTCTTGCCCCCAGAGAAAACAGGCCATTGGTAACAGTGTAGGGAGAGCCTGTGAAACCCACAGTCGTTGATTCCTGAGTCCAAGCTCCCATTTCAAAACGGAAATAAAAAATAAAGCAAGGCACTCACCACCTTGTCTTTGACCTTGGGGAGGCCAGACGTTATAATCCAGCCACACGGGAAGGACTGGAGAGCCTAGAGTTGGGTATCAGGCCCCACCCAGCCCGAGGGGACTGCAGGGGGCCAAAGTGAGGATCCCCTACATGAGATGGGGGCTCATCTGGATGAGACTGGGGCCTGGTCAGTGTGGACTCCTGCCTGGCACCCTGGCCTTCCCTGGCTTTGTCAGAGCCCGCAAGAATCTATTTGTAGGCTGATGCAATGAATGTTCGTTCCCTCTCCCAGAAGGGGAGCTCCATGAGGACAGAGTCGTTTTTGTGGCATCTGGGTGCTTGGAGCTCAGGACCCAGCAGGCTTCAGAGCAAATCTTTTCTGAATGAATGAACCACTGGGAAATTTAGGAATGCTGGGAGGTCTCCTTCCCAGCAAGCCTGACATGACTATAGCATCACACAATTCCGGGAGCTGCCATACACATTTACAGAATATGTAAAAAGGATCCCCCTCCCTGAGTTGTGCGGGGAATTGGAGGGGAAACCCTGGGTCATCGTCTTGCCAGTCTTTGGGCACCAGAAGCTCCTCTTTCTTTCACGGGGCCTCCTTTTGAGTCTAGAGAGACCGGATCTCAGACCTGGGAGGGGACCTGGGGCAGAAATGGCAGTCAGCCTCCAGCATCATGGGGCCACCGGAGGGAGGGCAGGAGAATCATTAGCTAGAAGGAGGCCTCTGGGGCACCTGCCCACTCTTTGTGGGAGGGGCTGCCGGGCTGTGTGCTGGGGCAACGGGCTGGGAGGTCTTCTCTCTCACCTGTCTTAACTGCCTTGCCCCTTCTTGTTTTTACACCTGGTGCTCGGCCGTGCTCACCCCTGAGTACCTCCTGCCCTTAGTGCCCTGAAGCTTGGGGAGGGTCCCCGGTGGTAGCCTGGGAGAAGAGGAAGCTGCTGTTTATGGAGCAACTTTTAGGAGCTGGGTGTTTTCAGGTAACTCAAACAGCCCTGGAGGTGGGTGTGGTGGGCCCAGGACCTAGAGGAGCTCTAGAGGGTAAGTGGCTTGCTCAAGGTCACAGAACTGGGGAGTGGCAGAGCCAGAATTGAACCCAGGCAAGGCGTCCAGACTGCAGAACTCCAAGGGCGTTTCCCCGGTGTTCTGGGAACCGCTGGAGTGGAGGAGCACGCAGCCTGCGCACCCCACTGTAGAGCCAGGTCTGTCTGCCTGACGTCAGGCTCACTTTCTCATCACGAAACTTCCACCAGCTCTCCTCACCCTGGACGTGAACTCTTTGGCTCCAGGGGTGGGGCCACCCTGACCTTCGCCCAGAGATACACCCCCCCCCCCCCCCCCGCCCCCCCGCCCCAAGCAAGAGGCCAGTTCTGCTGAAGTTGCTGTTCTCAAGCCCTTCCTCACCTGCAAGGGAGGTGGCGGCCAGTTACTCATCCTCCCCTGGGGCTAAGGGCAGGCCAGACCCCAGGACCCTGGAGTCCCCTCCCCACAACTGACTCGGAATTCTCTGGCCAGAGACAAGGAGGGGGCTGGGCTGCCCAGTCACTGCTGATTTAAGAAGAAAGAGCTGCTAAGGACAGCAGAAGTACCCCGAGGACTGCTCCGCGCCAGGCCTTGGGCGCCCCATGCTTCAGGTGATTGTCGCATTTCATGGCTTGGGGAGGTAATGACTGACTATGGGTCCCACTCCACAGATGAAGAAACAAAGGCACAAATAAATGAAGTCAGTGTCTCAGCATTACATGTCAGCAAGTGAAGAAGCCAGGCCACGTGGTTCTTGAGCCTCAGCTTTCTCTTTCTACCCTGAGCTCCATCCCTTTATAGTTGGGGGGGTGCCCTCCAGCCTCAGGTTCACAGCGACTAGTGGGGTGTATGGGGATGGGCCGGGGCTCTGGATTCCAACAGAACTGTCCTTCCTGGGGACTGCCACTTCCTGCCATCAAGCTCCGGGCAGGTAAACTCAAACCCCAAACTTTCCCTTCTGAGACCCCATTCCCGTGCTCCAGAGAGAGCTGTTGATAGTTAACCCCGACCCTGGGAGCTCCAGTGTGTTCTGTCTATGGCTCCCCTACTACCCCTTTACAACTTCCCCAAGTCCGTCTCCTTGTCGTCTGTCTCTGGATCAAACCCAAAACCAGGTTCAAAGTCCCATCCAGAAGCCTTCTCTGGCCCAGGTGGCTCTAGCCCTGTGTCCTCATACTCTCTCTGGCCCAGGTGGCCCTGGCCTGTGTCCCCATCCTCCTGGGCAGTCTTGTCCAGCTGTAGCATAACTTGCTGACCTGTTCTTCCTGGGTCATAGGGTTCTTAACTGGGGCATGGAATTCCAAGGAATCTGAGTGAAAACGATTTCATCTTTGTGCTAACATCTAACTAAGGCTCTAGACATAGGCAACAAAGCCATACTGTGGTTACTGGTCGCGCGGGTGATTTTGTCACAAAGGCCCTTGATCGTGGCCATCAGCCATCAGGTACGGGCACAGATCAGTTGGTGCCGTTATCTCAAAATGTATCTCAAAATATTGTTTCTATCCATCACTTGTTTTGGCATTACGGTGGTTATACCAATGCTAGATCTTTCGTGCGTGCATAATTACCTGTATTTCTGAATTGCGATTGGCTTTTTCATATTTGTATTACTGTATTTCAAAGTAACTGGGGCGCCTGGGTGGCTCGGTCGGTTAAGCGTCTGCCTTCGGCTCAGGTCGTGATCCCAGGGTCCTGGGATCGAGCCCCGCATCGGGCTCCCTGCTCTGCGGGGAGCCCGCTTCTATCCTCTGCCTGCCACTCCCCCTGCTTGTGCTCCCTCTCTTGCTGTGTCTCTCTCTGTCAAATAAATAAATAGCAAACTCTTAAAAAAAAAAAAAAAGAAAAAGAAAAAGAAATGGTGACTAACTTGGTTTTGGCTCAGGTCGCGATCTCAGGGTCGTGAGATCGAGCCCCAGGTTGGGCTCCACTCGGTGCCTCTGCCCTTCCCCTCGTGCTCTTCCTCTCTCCTGAATAAATAAATAAATCTTTAAGAAAAAGAGAATTCCAAGAATAAGATGACCGACTGACTGCTCCACCCAGAGGCCCCTCAGTTCTTCCTTTCGGCTTATCTATTATCGCAGGCAAAAAGGATGCAGGCAAAGCGTCCCGTGATGGAAACCAAAACTACCCCCCAAGCAAAAGGGACTGCCTGACAACCGCAAGAACCTGCGTGACTGACCCCACGAGACGGTGGTCAACCTGACCTTTCCTGCCCACCTGCAGGGACCTTTCCTTTCTTCCACATTTTCCTTATAGAAACCTGGCTGCACTTTCCAGCACTCTGGAGACCATCTTTGAGACCCTAGTCCGCTGCCTTCCCGGCGTCAGCCTTGTTGAAATGAATCCCTTTCTTGTTTTGCCACCACTTGTCTCTCTGCCTTTGGGTTTTGTCAGCGGCGAGTGGCCCGACCTGGTCTGTTCGGGGCCCTCATGGCCAGGTGCTCCTGCTCCCTTGGGTCCTGGTTATACACCTGCCTTAAGGTGAAGGGAAAGAAAAAAAATGGTCTAGCACCAACTATTGTGGCTTCCCTGAATCACCTTGGGAACCTCCTAAGCTTCTAGGTCCATCTCCAAGAGGAATTCCTCTCTGGGCGGGAGCAGGGGTCTCTACAAGCCGCAGCGATGCACTGTGCGCCACAGTGAGGAGTCGACAGAGGTCAGGCATGCGTGGCTGGGTGGGCGCTCTGCGTGCATTCTCGTTCTCTCTCCTGTTTCCTCCTCACATCTGCATGGGGCAGTGGTTCTCGCTCCTGCTGTTGTGAGGGAGGAACCTGGGCTGGCCAAGCCCAGCTGGCAGCCTATTGGCGTGGGACCCGGTCAGCTTACGCTCCAGCCCAGGGCAGCTCCCTGGGGCTCCTGGCGCAGCGCAACTCTGCACTCCGATCCTGTACGCGTAGCTTGCACTGCTGTCCGAGCTGGCTCAGACAGCGGCAGGGAAGAGTTTTTTTTTCCCCTGGCAGCTAATGTTTCTTGCTCCCTCTGTCACTACCTCCCCCTTGCCCTGTCTGGCAGAGGAGGTGCTCTCTAGCCCTGTGCCTCGGCTGAGGATTTGCTCCTCTCTCAGTATCCTTTTATGAGCTCCTGAGGACAGGGAAGTGAGTCTTTTCACCTCTGGGTCTCACCCCTGGCTCTTTGGCTGGTGCTGGCCTGGGTGTGAAATCCCCCTTTCCCACTTGTGCTACACCCACCTCTACCCCAGGAAGTTGCTGCTACTGGGACCCCCTGGGGGGCAAGCCCTGGGCCCCTCAACTGTTCATCAGGCACTCATTGGACAGATACTCTCTCCACTCCAGGTCTGCAGTCCTGTTGGTTCTATGCCTCAAATGCCCCCATTGACTTCTCTCCAGCTCTCGGCCACCAGCCTCGTTCAAGCCCCAGCATCTGTCACCAAGACTCCTACAAGGTCTCATTCACCTCTCTTCCTCTCTTGCCCCTGAAATCTCTTCCCCTTGCTGCAGGCAGAGTGGTCTCAAGTCACAAGTCTGGTTTAATCCACCCCAATCCTCCAACACGGACACACTCACCTCAAAGCAGCTCAACGTATCCCACTGCTCTCGGGAGAAGTTCAGGGCTGATTTGAGCCTTCTCCTCCTTGCTCTCTGCTCCAGCCACACTAGCCCTCTTCCAGTTCCTCAAATACTCCACCCTCCTCCCAGCCACGGGGCTTTGCACACACGTAACTTCCTCTCTTCCCACTTTGCCCAGCTGCTGTCTACTTATTCTTGAGATCTCAACTCAAGTATTCCTTTTTCAGGGAATCCTCCATGGGTTCGAGGCTCGGTTATACTCCCCGTTTTCACACACTAAGCCCCTGTCCGTCTTCTGCATAGCACTTATCACAGGCTATAATTAAATACTTTGTTTCGTGAATTTCTTGATGAACATCAACCTTTTTCATCAGACCATACTCTCTAGGGAGCTAGGCCCGAGTCCGTTTCTGCCCACCCCATCAGGCACCTACGTGGAGTTGACGGTGTGAATGCATGAATGAGAGCACCAGGCACTAGGGACACAGACATGAGTCAGGCCCAGCCCTGGCCCTCCGGACTCCGAGTGCCCCCATGTGGGCTGGCCCCTAGGCCCACGGTGGGCGGGCTGCCCAGCAAAGCCAGCAGTGGACAGAAGAGATAAATGTTCAGATGGCTTCCAAACCCCAAGGCTGGCAGCTTGCTTCTTTTGTAATGGGAAACACAGGTCAGAGGTCAGAAAACCTGCATGCCCAGGCCCAGCTTTATGGGCACCCCGCTCAGCTTTTTCTTTTCTTTTTTTGTAAGCAACACTGATCGGGGCACCTGGGTGGCTCAGTTGGTTAAGAGTCTGGCCTTGGGCTCAGGTGATGATCCCGGGGGCCTGGGACAGGGCCCCAGGTCAGGCTCCCTGCTCCGTGGGAGTCAGGAGTCTGCTTCTCCCTCTCCTCCCCGCTCATGCTCTCTCTCTCTCTCTCTATTTCTGTCTCTCTGTCTCTCTCTCAAATAAAGAAAAAAATAAAAAAGTAACACTGATCATTTCCAGCTGTACACACATTTATCTCTTTTATGTGGTTTCCTTATCTGCAAATGGGAATAAAAGAAACACCTGCCTCATCGGGCTATTATAAGGATAAAGGATGTGACTATGTCGCAAAGGACCATCCATGGCGGTGAGCAGATGGTGGGGCTGGTGTTGGGAGATGAATGCACTCCCGGGATCCTGGGGAACCAGGGTGGACTCACGAGGCACACATGGAGATGAAAGTGCCAGAGAGTCCAGTGCAGACTCTGGACCCGGGGTGTGGGCAAGGTGTGGGACCTGTGGGCATCATGGCCTTTACCCGTGACGGGCACAGAGCAGCCCGGGGCTGTTGGGCAGCTGCAAATACGCCCGTAGTCTCCAAGCTGTCACCACTTATTCCTCCTGGTGATTGAAGGTTAACCCAGGGAGGGGAGATGGCTTGGCACACAGGGGGTCACTCCCACTGCCCCTCTGCCCCTGGTGAGCAGGGGATGCTGCTGGCAGTGAGCACTCCCAGGTCTAGGGGTGAGGTGAGGTACTAGGTGGCAGCCGGCCAAGAACCGTGGCAAAGGCGAGTCCAGAGTAGGATCCCAGAGGAGAAGCGGCCCTTCCCTGAGCCTCCGTCTTGTCTGGGCTGAGGAAGGCTTCCAGAGGGGACACTGAACGGGTGTTGAGGGATGAAGAGGAGTTCAGTGGGTGGGTGGGCAAAAGGTGTTGAAGTGAGGGAGTGAGCAGAGAGGGACCAGAATGAGGCATAAAAGATCTTGATGCATTCTTGGAGGGGTATATCGCTTGGAAAAGGCCTTGTCTGCCTTGGGGGAGATCTAGGACTTTATCCGGAAGACAGTGGTGAAAAGTGAGGGCCTTAAAAGATTTTAAGAGGAGAGAGTGACACGGTGAGGTTATACTAATGCCACTCAATGTGATTTTTTAAAAATGATTTTATTTAC